TCCATGTTATATTCAACTGACACCTGTCAAAACAAGGTATCCGCTTACCAGTATCACATGACCATATCGCAGGCTCATTTTTTTTCCAACTAGCTGCCAATATATTGCGGTATTGCCGTCTCAAAATCACATTTAGCTCATATAATCAGGAGCTCTGCTCTTAGGTTTGGCTAAATCTATATATTAAACTCTTAAATATACTTAAATATACTTAAATCTCTGGCCAGATTTAAGTCTGGCCAGAGTCCTTGGTGTGGCATTCTTCTCTCACAGTGCCTCTTTCCACCCACTTTTATCAAGAAGCTATTGTGAATGTACCATTACAGAAACAAATATTGGGTGTTACTTATTCAACACTGGAAACTTCAGATCAACTAACTTACGGTATTCTTTTGTCTTTTGTCTTAATTAAGTGCTCTTTAAATTAGATCAGGATCTAGGATTTAGTGTTGTGCTCTGTGATGTCATGACTTCTTATTGAAAAAGTTTGAGTGAATATTATACCCCGCTTCCTTATAAAGCAGCTTTTTGTCATTTCATTCCTTTGCAGTTTAGGTAGTGAAGTAGTACTGCAATATGTTTCAGATACAAAACGACTTACAATATTAGTAACTGAAGATGTAAATTGAATCATTATTGTAATAACTAGTATGTATTGTGATATATGATTGCAATTAGCAGGAATATAAGTTCACAATAAAATCTTTACTCAATGTACGCCTAAACTTTCAAAAACTCCCCCGTTCTGTTGCCACAAAAATGCAAGTTTTCAGTGCAGTTCCTGAGGTAGAGACTTCGTAATGCTGTTTCTGTACTGTATTATATAAAAAAAGCAACTAATAATTATGTTTACCATGAAGATTGTTACTGACAGACTCCTTGCATGATATAATCTTCCATAATATTGTCTATTGTTTCATTCCATCACTTTGAAAATGTGTTCAGTCAATTCTGCTAGAGGATTGTAAGCCAGCCATGAACCACTTGGTGTAACAGGTTGATAAGCAGTGCCACAATGCAACAGAAAAAGACAGTATTTTGATAAAAGGAAGCAATATGATATAGTGCAGAAAATCAAACAAATAATGCAAGGACATGATTTTCCTTATGGCAAGTACCACATGTCTGGCCCACAAATTCCTTTTGATTTCTCATTCTCTTGAGGCTCATCTAAGTTAAACTCTGGTATCTAAATTAATAGATTAAAAAATGAAATTGATGAGAATTGAGAATTAACACCACACACGTTAGGTATTGAAGCAATGTCAATTGAGAAAGATGTCTTCTAAAGCCTTGTAAATAGCATCATAAGAACTTAAAATTATGTTTTAAAAATATCATAAATGTGTAAAATTGTGATGCTCCAAGCTTATTTTGGATTATATGTACTAAAGGCATCTGTGGTCGAGTGTCGATCAATACCTTGATTGATACCCTCGATCGATAGTCGATCGACATTCTGATCGATACTCGGTTGACACTAAATCTACACTTGATGGGAAACCACTGTTGTGTAGCCAGAAATTGAGAGATTTTGAAGCTATACCTGAAATGAAAAATGTACACTCAAGACACATTGAGCTTCAGTTTCAGTTTCAGTTTCAGTTT